AAAAAAAAAAAAAGAAAGAAAGAAAATTATTAGACTGTCCTCCCAAACTTAATGTCTTATGAGTTAGGACCTTACAGTATGCCCTTTGTGAGTCTCGTGGTAGGGGAAGTGGGTGTTCTTTGGCTGTAGTTGGTCCCTCCTACTTGTTCCTCTTGTCCCCTCATCTTTCTTTCTCCTCTCACTCCCCTTTTGTCCCTTACTCATCTGGGTTCCTAAATGTACTTTGTCATAATAGGGAGAACATCCACATTCCCTCTCTCACACACGTTTCCAGACCAGTTCTGGTGGTTGTCTCCTCTTCAGAAAAGTTGGGATATGGGCTCAGCACCTGTAGCTCAAGTGGCTGGGGTACCAGCCACATATACCAGAGCTGGCGGGTTCAAATTCAGTCTGAGCCTGCCTAACAACAGTGACAACTACAACCAAAAAATAGCTGGGCACTGTGGCGGGCGCCTATAGTCCCAGTTACTGGGAGGCTGAGGCAAGAGAATCACTTAAGCCCAAGAGTTGGAGGTTGCTGTGAGCTGTGACGCCATGGTACTCTACCCTGGGCGACAGCTTGAGACTCTGTCTCAAAAAAAGAAAAGTTGGCTCTATGCCTGTGGCTCAAGTGGCTAAGGCGCCAGCCACATACACCTAAAGTAGTGGGTTCGATTCCAGCCCGGGCCGCCAAAACAATGACGGCTACAACCAAAAAATAGTCGGGTGTTGTGGTGGGCACTTGTGGTCCCAGCTACTTGAGAGGCTGAGGTAGGAGACTTGCTTGAGCCCAGGAGTTGGAGGTTGCTATGAGCTGTGATGCCACAGCGCTCTACCCAGAGGGATAGCTTGAGACTCTGTCTCAAAAAAAACAAACAAAGAAGCGATACGGAGGTGCAGCCCCTTTTCCCCTGTCTCTTTGATACTATTTTTGAGACAGAATCTCAAGCTATCCCCCTGGGTAGAGTGCCATGGTGTCATAGCTCACAGCAACCTCTAACTCTTTGGGCTCAAGTGATCCTCTTACCTCAGTTTTTCTTTTTTTGTATTTTAGTAGAGACAGGGTCTCACTTTTTGCTCAGGCTGATCTCAAATTTATGAGCTCAGGCTATCCACCTGCCTCAGCCTCCCAGAGTGGTAGGATTATAGGCATGAGCCACCACATCCAGCCCCTTTTCCCTACTCTTAACCACTTTCTCTTTCCTTGCAGACTCGTGGAGAAATGAGAAAGAACCATCGGCTGGTAAGTGGGCATTGAGGACAAGGGAATGAAAATCTGATAGAAGTATGACTTTAACCAATCACCTCTCTCTCCTCTTGGGCAGAAAATTGGCTTCTTCAACCAGCAATATGCCGAGCAGCTGCATATGGAGGAAACACCCACTGAGTACCTGCAACGGGTCTTCAACTTGCCTTACCAGGATGCCCGAAAGTGCCTGGGCCGTTTTGGCCTTGAAAGTCATGCCCACACCATCCAGATCTGCAAGCTCTCTGGTACTACTGTAGGGGGCTTGGGAGGAGGTCCTTATCATTCTTGTCTACAAACTGTACCTGGAAGTAGAAAGGGGGGGAAACAGAAATAGGCAGCCTTGGAACACTTACTGGCCCAGAAATGTAAGGCATTAGAAAGGGAATGAACCTTCTTTTGTCCTTTTCCTTTGCTACAGGTGGTCAGAAAGCCCGAGTTGTGTTTGCAGAGCTGGCCTGTCGGGAACCTGATGTCCTTATCTTGGTGAGGGAGGTGGACCGTGGGAGAGGGGATAGGAGTAATGGAAGTAGGAATTATAGTGTCATTAATGGAATTCCTCCTCCTCCATAGGATGAGCCAACCAATAACCTGGACATAGAGTCTATTGATGCTCTGGGGGAAGCCATCAACGAGTACAAGGGTGGTAAGTTAGACTGAGAGCAACAAGCCCTTCTTGTCTGTGAGGAACAAGCTATATTGTCCGTTGGCTAAGGCTCCCTTCTCTTTTTCTTTCCTTTTTTTTTAAATTTCAGAATATTAAACAGTACACACAATTTGATTACGTAATTACTTTTTGTACAGATTGAGTCAAAGTTATAAGTGTGCCTTTAACCACTTGGTTTTTTTTTTTGGAGACAGAGTCAGACTCTGCCACCCTGGGTAGAATGCCATGGCATCATCATAGCTCACAGCAACCTCAAACTCTTGGGCTCAAATGATCCTCTTGCCTCAGGCTCCTGAGTAATTGGGACTACAGGTGCCTGCCACAACACCTGGCTAATTTTTTAGAGACAGGGTTCTCACTCTTGCACCGCCTGCCTGGGCCTCCCAGAGTGCTAGGATTACACACATGAGCTGCTGTGCTGGCCCTTGTGTTTGATTTTTGTTGAGTTTTACTTTTAGATGGGTACATAAGTATGGATTGATAACCTCAAGTTTAGTGTTTAGTACACTTAGTATTTGTTAATCCAGTGTGATTGCTGGATCAAACAATAGATCTACTTTTAATTCTTTGAGGTATCTTCCTACTACTTTCCATAGAGGTTGTACTAGTTTGCAGTCCCATCAACAGTATGTAAGAGTTCCTTTCTCTCTACATCCATGCCACCATCTATTGTTTGGGGCCTTTTTTTTTTTTTTTAAGAAGGCAGAGTCTCACTCTGTTGCCCAGAGTACAGTGGCATCAGCAGCTCATAGCAACCTTAAACTCCTGGGTTTAGACGATCCTCCTACCTCAGCCACCAAAATAGCTGAGACTATAGGCAGCCACCACAATGCCTGGCTAATTTTTCTATTTTCAGTAGAAACAGGGTCTCACTCTTACTCGGGCTGGTCTTGAACTCCTGAGCTCAAACTGTTTTTCCACTTCAGCCTCCCACAGTGATAGGATTATAGGCACGAGCCACTGCACCCAGCCCTTATTTTGGGACTTTCTGATTAAGAGTCACTCTCATTGGGGTTAGATGATAATCTCATTGTGGTTATTTATTTATTTATTTATTTATTTTGAGACCGAGTTTCACTATGTGAGTTTATTGGCCATTTGCATATAGGGCTCCCTTCTGTCATGATTTCCGTCTTTGTTCATTTTCTCTTACCATCTTTCTTCAAAGCTGTGATCGTTGTCAGCCATGATGCCCGACTCATCACAGAAACCAACTGTCAGCTGTGGGTGGTGGAAGAGCAGAGTGTTAGCCAAATCGATGGTGACTTTGATGACTATAAGCGGGAGGTTTTGGAGGCCCTGGGTGAAGTCATGGTCAACCGACCCCGAGAGTGAGCTTTCCTTCCTGGAAGTTTCCCAAGAAACAAGCTTACATGGCCTAGAATTCCCCTGTTGTCTCCCTGTCTCCTCGGAAGACTGCCTCTGGTCTACAGCTGACATTTGGGAACATGAAGATGGAATGTTGACTTGATGTGACCAGGATGCCACTTTGATTGTTTCCATTTCTTTGAAAGACTTATCTGTTCCACTTTTCTTGAGATAAGTGAGCTAACCTTAACCTTGGCATCCCTCTATCCAGACAGAGGTGACCACCTTCATTATTGTGTGACTTCATCCAGCCAAGCTTACATGGCCTGTTGTCTCAAACCTGATCACTCAGAAGATTACCTATGGCTCACCTTAAAGCTTCAAGCCTGGACCCCGGGTCTTTGAGTGGTGGTGTTCTTTTCTGGTGGATTTAATGCTGGCTTACTGATACAAACAGCTGTTGAAGCTCAGAGCTAGAGACAAGTGTCTGAAGCCTGTGCCATCACACATCCCAGGATTTGGTGCCTGTCATCTCTTGTCTGGTTGAGGACTGGGGGGCAGGAAAGGAATGTTGCGGAACTTGGATCTCCCTTTACAAAGGGAAAAAATAAAAGGAGTTGCTGCTAGCCTGTCATTATTTAAGCAGCGGTTCTCAACCTGTGGGTCACAACCCACAGGTACTGTATTAAAGGGTCATGGCATTAGAAAGGTTGAGAACCACTGGTTTAGAGATTCATGGGAGTTGGAACTGTCCTCAGTCTTGATTTGCTTTTATTCCATTTTCTAGCAGTTTTATTATCTCCTCTTTTGCACTAATACAGATGGATCTCATTTGCAGTCTTGCACTTTAGACAGTGTTTGCTGTTTAAGGAGCCTGCCTCCTTTGCCCCAACCCTTCAGACAAAGGAGAAAGTGATTCATACCTTCCATCATGCACACTCGGGTGTCTTACTGAGCAAGCTAACTTCACGAATGAGAATGTGCTCTGCCCTGTGGTCAGGCACCAGAGTTTCAGTCCTCGCAAAAATTACTGTATCGGCTCGGCGCC